CCTTTCCTTCCGTACCGTACCTTACTTTACTTTCTTTCTTCCTACCTACCTACCTACGTACACACCCACCCCACCCCCACCCCACCACGACGTTCTTCTACAGACCCCCCTCCTCTCTCTCTCTCTCTCTCTCTCTCTCTCTCTCTCTCCATGCCACTCTGCTAAAAACCTCTCTCTCTCCCCGTGAGAATGGCAATGGCAAACAATAGAAGGGCGCTGGGGGACATCGGCAACCTGGTAGGTGCCCTTTCAACAAGATGCGTCGTCACCAAAGGGCAGTCCCTTCAGGAGTAAGCATATCTCTCTCTCATTAGCCATCTTCTTTTCTCTCTCTAGAGTAAACTGGGGATTCTTGACCCCTGTGGCTGAATGATAATTTTCTCATCAGAAACAGGGGATTAACAACAAAGAAGAAGATTTCTTTACCTGTAGATCGCCCCATAACCAGGTGACAATCTCTCTCTCTCTCTCTCTTTTAAGTTCAGCCTCAACCTTTCAGGTATTAGCTTCATATTCATTTTTTCTTTCTTAAATCTCAATTTTTGAAGGAGCTTTGGAGCCATTTTGGAGAAAAAACAGACGCTAGCAAAGGTTCAGCCTCTCTCTCTCTCTCTTCTTTTTTGTACTGAAATTAGAATAGATTTGTGCTGCAATTTATTGGGGTTTCTTTAAAGAATGTGTTTCCGATTTATCTTCTGTGCTTTTCTGAATTGGGGGTTTTTTCAATTGACTAAACAGAAAGAAGAAAGAATTGATGAGGAGGAGGATAATGTGAAATGGAGATCAAAACAGAGAAGAACAATGTCTTCAAGAAAGAAGAAAACCCAAAACGAGAACGACCCAATAGATGCTTTCATGGAAGAAAGAGAAAAAGAAGACGCAGAAGTAGTTATTACCCAAGGGAAGCACTTAGAAAACAAGGATTTCACTGCAGATGCAACTTCTACAGAGACATCATATGTAAGTGAAGATTGGGTTACTTATATTTGAATTCATGCTTTTTTGTTTTATTCTAAGAATTGGGGTCGATTTATTTTGGGCAGTTATCATGTGAAATTGAAATGGAAGATGCGGAGTCGCCATTGCCGTGTATAGATGAATTAGACGTTAAAAACCCATTGGCTGTTGTGGAGTATGTTAAGGATATATACAGTTTCTATCGCAAAACAGAGGTTTCTCTCTCTCCTCTTTCATAATCTTTAACTTGTCAGTACCTCTGCTTTTCTTCCTCGTCAAGGAACCTTTGAAGAATTCTCATAGTCCTCTATTCAATGTGTAACAGTTTGAGAGTTGTGTTCCGGCTGATTATATGTCGAACCAGCCTGATATTAACCATAGAATGAGGGCTATATTAGTTGATTGGCTGATCGAGGTCTGTTACTTTGATCTCTCTCTCTCTC